CGGCTGGGCCCCCTCCCGCGCAAGAGCTCTGCCGCGGGCCCGCTGGTGCGCACCGGCCCACTGGGGCCGTCTGGCCGGGCGGCTGAAGCAAGGCCGGTTTACGCTGCCTGGGTGGGTGCGTGAGGAGGGGTCCTTCGGGGCTACTGCACGCACACCAGGCCGAAAACTTCCATTTCTCCATCCAACGTGCCCCGGTCCGCTCCCAGAAGTGCGCTGCGCCATGCGCCGTTGCCATCCTCTCCTGGCTTCTGCACCTGGAGGAGGATGGCCCGTGACAACCAGCAGTACCTTTGACAGGCTTTAGGTTAGCTCGGAAACGACAAAACTCAGGATGTGGGCGAAGGGTTGCACCCAGAGACCTCGAGGGGAGGGAAGGGTGCTTGCTGGGCCAGTTACAGAGCCTGACGGGGAAGAGGAGAAGCCTCTGGGCTGGCAGTGCAGGCAGCGTGGAAACCTTGACAGCTGTGCCTGGCTCCTCCTCAACATCGTGTCCTCCTCCTTTAATTAGAAATCAATTTTATTTTTTCTGAAGGAAAACCATCAGAAAAATAATGCATTACCTCTTCATTATGTTGCTCTCGGCTAACACGGGGATTTCAGACCTTTTGCTCCCTCCTCACGCAAGACTCTTCCCCCTACCTTCTCTTCAGCACTGGGTGTTACAGGACAGGAGTTCAGAGATTCTGGCAGGAGGACTGGGAAACACCGCAACTGCCTCAGGGCTGGCAGACAGGATTCCTACCGTTCAGGCAATCCGACAGGTAAAAAGGCGCTGCAGCCACCTTCTCCGCTGCTGAAAGTCTTAACACCTTTAGGACTGACAGCATATCCATCCACAACTTTCCAAACTTCCTACCTTTAGTTTACACTTACCCTGATTATTCAATACACACTGCTTGAGGCCAGACACCTAATTAGAGCGGATTGTCTCCTGTCCTTGTCAAGTATTTTGCCTCCATTCAGAGTCTCTCCTAAAAACTCAGCTAACCCTGTGTTTTCTCCCTGCAATTTGTCACTCCGGAGAGCCCAAGGAATAGCAGCCCAGTGATATGAGGGAAGACACAGATCCCTTCTGCTTTAGTACTTTTGTATTGCAGGATTTTTCAGCTGCCAGCAAGAGAATCCCCCTCGGTTAAGAGATTATGACTTGACTTTCATAGTATTTTTTTACATATTTTTCGAGTTTAATTCTACTCTGAATCAGTGTACTTTTGACTCAAGCGAGAGCCAAACTTTCCTTATGTAAGAGCCTCTGAATTCATTTACTGGCCCAGCTCTGCATGAATCATCAAACCCAAGTTTAAGAATTAAAACAACAGTGATCTGTTAAAAGACCGTGCAGCACAGTTGCTGTATTTTTAATGATAAAGACTCTCCCGGTCAGACAAATGACAGAACGAAAACCTTCCTTGTTCACGAAGACACTAAGTTGCAGACATTTTCAAGTCAGGACAGTTCAGCCTGCTCACACAAGACTTCTTTCACATGTAACCTAGAGGCAGCCGCAAAAGGGGTTGTTTCCCCATCAATCACAAAGTAATTCCTAGTTTGCTCTTTGCACCGCCTCTGACTAGCATGTACCAGGCAAACCACTACAATGTCATCACCAAGATTTGGAAAATAAATCCTAGCTGTTAACATAGATCATGGAATTCAGCTTCCCCTGCGAGACAGAAGAGGGGCTTTAAAGAGATTTGGCAGTGAGGAGGAAAGAGGCGGCAGGGAAACTGAAACAGTAACCAGAACCTGCACAAGAGAAGGTGCCAGAAAATACCACATCAGTGCATCATGCCAATTACACGTTTTAAAGTGCTGTGGAAAATGGCTAGAGGATTTTCTGGTAAAATTTAGGACTGGGTCACTTCCAAGAGGCCCGAAAGCTGGGTCAGTAATCAGAAGGAGATGAAACCCCCTGAGCCATCCCGCACACCCCCAGACGAGAAAATGGTGTGGTTTTTCTTTCTTCTGCTGAATGCCTCTATTAGCAACAGGGTTATCAATCACTGAAAATCTGATCTAGATTTGACTGCACATAATTTCTGATTTCTAAAACACTGTGACCTGAAAAAGGGCTGATGCGCATGAAAGATTATTTGTATTTTTTTCCATTTTATCAACCGGTCTGCTGAAACATATCGCCTCTTCTTGCCTCTCTAACCTTAAAACCACCTGCAATATTTAAAAGACAGCTGATTGCATGCTAATCTCCCAGCTGCAGAGACCTGCTTGCTCCTTCCCGGCCTCCCTCATATTAATAGCAAACATACCACCGAAATCCCCGTCACAACAGAAGAGCACAATTCCTCCCGCATAGGGAAAAAAAAAAAAACAAAACAAACCAAAAAACTCTTCACTGCAGCTTTGCTCAGCCTCAGCAGTAGCCATCAAACGCTAGCAGGTACTAGGTATAACTAGATACTTGCATTAGAAAACAAAGGAAATAAGGCATTATACCTTCAGAAATGGAGCTACTTAATCCTTTTTAATCCTTCCTTTGCCTAGAAGAAGAGGGGAATAATTCTATTTCTGTACAAAATCTGGAAACCCTACACTCTAGGACCCACCATACTGTAAATTATGTTTACTTTACTTAGGTCAGTGAAACTGCAGCAACCTTGCCCCACACCCCCAACTCTCCTCAGCACAGACTGCTAGAAAGGCAGTTTTCAGGATCACATGCCAGATAAAGCCTTTTTTAGATAACACATGGAAAAACAGTGGCATTAAGCGGTTTGTGGATTACTGACAATAAAACATACCTAAAAGCAATCCTAGGAGCTCAATTCCTATTCAAAGAGAGACATCAAGCAAATGCTTCAGTATTTACCTAGCAAGTTCACCTGAAATTCATTGGTAGACCAGTACATTTTCAGATTAACAGTTCAACCTTTCGCAACAAAACAGTGCTCATGGAGAGTCACTCTTCAATTAAAAATGCAATATACAGATCATTTACTATGTAACCAGAAAAAGAAAGTAATATAATGGTTTCTGAAGCCTAAAACCAATATTGAAGAACATTTTTTACACCATTGAAATAACCAGGGTAAATGAAAAAAAAAAACAATTGTTCTTCTTGAACAAAAGTTTAAGCAAAACACATTAAAAGGCATTGTGAGAATGCACTGCCATGTGAAAATACCGGCCGCGCCCCAGGGGCCCCCGCTGCCAGCCGCCGGGCCCTCCCGCACGTCCACCTGCAGCGAAATGCTCGCAGGGAGGCGAGCAGGCCGCTTTCTAGTCGCCTTCCTTCCTTAGAGCCCGCTGGGTTGTTTCCAAACTCTCCCCTCCCTTTCTCGCAGGCTGGCCAAGCCCTCCCGTAACACCCAGGGGAGGAATCCATTGGCTGAAGTTCCCCAAAACCGTGGAGCAGCCCTTCCCCCGTTGATGTCTGGTGCACAGCAGACCTGCACAGCAGACCCCGGCGCCTCTCCAGGCTGCCCTGGCCGGTTTGCTGCTGGCCTTTGCTTTTTCATCAGGGTTTATCTGAGCTGTCGCTGGGCTGGCGCACGTTGGCCGTCCGACCTCCAGCACCAGAGCAAGCAGTGAAAAGCAGAGAGGGGTTGCATGGGGTGAGAAACATCGCAAGGCGTTCTCACTGCACTCCCCACTGCCGATTTTTCAAAGTTTTACTTTCTGTTTTAAATATTTTCGAAAGGCAGCATCTGCGCTCCTGACACCTCAGCAGTTCTGTTTGATTACAATCGAGTCTGTTACTGTGTCACTTGGAATATAAATTCCCACACATAATGCAGACAGCAAAAATGTATCGTATCTGTTAAATCAATCTGCTCTGTTCAGTTGCCTGTCTCTTGGCCTTCTGCTTTCTTTTCCTTCAGCCTACTTTTATTTTTGCATCTTCTGCAAAGGTGCCTTCATAAAATGAACTGCAAGCACAGCAACCCCGTTCTTCGTCAGGCAGCGTCAGCTCCAGGTTGAAAGGATACTAGAACACGCCTTCGCTTTTTTTAATGCTCAGTAATTAGTGTTGCTTTTGAACATCCTCCTGCAAGCCCTGTCGGTGAGGCGGGAGCGGGGCCGTGCTGCACACCTGCCTGTGCGGCGCCTGCCGAGGCTGGGCGCCCCTGGGAGGTGGAGGGGGGATCGGCTCGCCCGGAAACTGAAGCGTCACCCACCGCCATGGCTTTGGATAGACACTTTCCCCAACCACAGCTTGCCCGTCTCTAGTGCGGCGTTCCAGGACTTGCCCCTCACATTGCACAAAAAGCCTTCCCT